TCCGTCTCTGCCTGGACCGTGTGGCTTACCTTTAATAGGTCTAGCTCTGACTTGCCTTCTGTGCTTCGGATTCAGTAGCTCATGGGAGAGCACGAGTGTCTGTGTATGTAATACATTCCGTCAGCATCTGAAGGAGGCAGTCAGTGGATGAACTTCTGAAATCATTTTCTAGAGGCATCTGTGATGTTCTAAGCTAAACAGACGGCTGGGATTTTGCTCTGGAGAAGCTGCAGCCTATCATTCCTTTTCTCAGCAGGAACCTCTCCTTCTGAGTTGAGTATTGTCTCCATTCTGAGAAAAGGAACAGAGTCCTGGATGGTGGACAAGGTGAATGTAGCAGATGACCCAGGTAGGTGGAAATGTATCCAGAGGTGAACACAGGTACCGGCTCAGATGGTTAGAAAATCAACTACACCATTAAATACTGTTTGGGAAAACCCCAAATGGGAAAACACCAGTTTATTTCTTCCATTGTCTCAAAGGAACCTTTGTTCCTCACTCTCCTTCCTGGCCCCTCCCCCTTGTCACTCAGATTTGTAAAGTCCATCCTCCAGTGGTGGTCCAGCTCCAGCAGAGACAAAGGCAAAGTCTAACATGACCTACATCTATTATGTGGTGCCTGTGAGCTTCTGGGAGGCTTGTCTGAGAGGGACAGGGTGGATCCTCTTGCCCCCTTGGTTTCTTCTGTACTTGATTCCATCCGGACCTCAGTTTTCAGTTAATACAGGTCAGAGCTGAGGCCTCCGTTGTCCTGAAGGACCTGTCTGCCTCCCTTTCTCACTCCACATACTTGGGACACCTCATATGCATGTGAAACCTGAACAATAGACAAGGAGACCGAAGAGGAACTGATGCCTTTGAATTACGGTGTTGGTGGAAGTAATGGCCTGCCAGGTGAATGAACAAATCTGACTTAAAGAAATATGGCCAGAATGCTCCTTAGAAATGATAATGGCATGACTTCATCTTACGTGCTTTGGAGATGGTATCAGAGGGACCAGTCTCTGGAGAAGTACATCATGCTTCGTAAAATAGAGAGTCAGTGAAAAAGCAAAGCTCCTCAAGTGGCTGCAACAATGAGGTCAAGTATAGCAACCAGTTGGGGGATGGTGTGCGGTCAGGCAGCGTTTGTTGTTACACGTGGGGTCACTATGCGTTGGAACCCACTTGATGGCATATGTGACAACAACATTCCTTATTGACTCACATCCTGGTGCTGTCCTGTTGTTCTGTGGCCATTATTGCCTGCTTATGTTGCTGACCACCTCTGTACAATGAATTATTCCATGGATCTCATTGGAACTGCAAGAAAATGGTTTCACACTTTACTGCTACAACTCACCCCACTCCTCTTCTTCTTTTTTGATTTGGGTGAAAGTTTACAGACCAAATTTGTTTTTCATTCAACAGTTCATAAATGTTTTGTTTCATGATATTGAATGCAATCCCCACATGTAACAAATCTATTCTCACTGCTTCCCTGTGGTTACCTTTTCCCTGAGTCCTCCTTTCCCATGCATTCCTGCCCTCTCAGCTTTTCCCTATGCAAATGCTGCCCTTCTCATCTTCCATGGTTGATTGTGCTAAGGAATGTACCTACCTGGTGTGATTTTTCACCTTGTAGGCTTTATCTGCTATTTGGCTGAAACCCATGGGAATGAGTTCATTTCTAGGCTCAAAGGGTAACTAAGGGCCATGGTTTCACCAGTCTCTATCAGACCAATAAGCCTGGTCTGTTTATGATTTTGAGTTTTGTTCCACATTTTTCTCCCACTCTATCCAGGATATCCTGCACTGATCACTTTCTGAATGGTTGACAGTGGTTGCTGGGCACCATCTAGTTCTTCTGGTCTCACAGTCTTATAGGCTGAGGTTTGCATGGTCCACTAGTCCCTTGCACTAATTGTTTCCATGCATCTTTGATTTTCTTCACTCTTCTTTGCTCTGGTTGAGGAAAGATCCATCATTGCATCTAGACGGCCGTTTGCAAGCTTGTAAGATCCCAGTCACTACTCGCCAAAGTAGGATGTGGAACAGTGTTTTTGTGTGATATGTTATGCCAGTTGAGCTTGATGTCTGCTGTGACCATGGTCCTGAGCCCACAGGTCCAACTATTCGTTCCCTCTGGGTACCTGGCTATGGCCAAGAAGTTACTACAAACATATCCCTTGACAGCTCTACTAGATATCTGGGAATTCTTACAGAACATACAAATACACTTGTAGAAATACTGTCTGACAACCCTATACATGATCATGGGCACACTCCCCCTACATAGACATACCTAATAGTTCAGCCTGTTCACCCATTTATCCACCCATAAATCAATGTTCGTAGGGCTTAGGTGTTTTTACATAGTGGAAATGGTAAGGTCATAAGGAATTTGAGTCAGCTCCTTTGAAAATCACTTGAATTACATGTAATCATTCTCTCTTTGTTGAGGAATCATATTAATTTTGTGTTCTAATAATTTGAAGTCCTTTGGGTAGAAGCTTCTGATTAATTATAAGTATTCTTATTGGTGGGATATTATGTTATTCACTGTAAAATACTTTCCAACAAGATATTAATGGTGTTAATAAGAAGCCTGGGGTTCTTTTTTTTTTAGATGGCTTTTCTACATCTGTGATCAAGGAATTATCACCAAAAGAAATCATTGATAAAGGAGAATTATTGCAGAGAGTGATGTTGGAAAGACCTGAAAGTCATGGCACTGAGGATGTTGACTTCAGGTGAGTCAGGGAAAGTGCGCGTGAGTTTCGGGGTCAGTGGAGAGATGATGAAGGAAGGGAACGATGGGAGTGAGCACAGCCCATAACGAAATTCTCAATGCCTTTTACAGTGCCTCAGACCTCACTAAATATGAAAGAATCCATACTGGAAAGGAACTATACAAAGCTAATGTATGTGGGAAGGTCTTCAGTCAAAATGGACATCTTGAAGCTCAGCTGAGAATTCTTACTGGAGAGAAACCTTACAGATGTAATGTTTGTGGCAAATCCTTTAACTTTGGCTCAAACTTGAGCAGACATCAGAAAATCCATACTGGGGAAAAGCCACATAAATGTAATATATGCGGCAAGATCTTTAGTCGGTATTCAGGCCTCACAACCCATCAGAGAATTCACACTGGAGAGAGACCTTACAAATGTACTGAATGTGGAAATGCTTTTACCCGAAGATCAAAACTAGTAGAACATCAGAAAATTCATGCTGGGGAGAAACCTTACACATGTAACGTTTGTGGACTACCCTTAACTAAAGGCTCAAGCTTAACTAGACATCAGAGAATCCACACTGGTGAGAAACCATATAAATGTGATGTATGTGGCAAAGCCTTCAGTCGAAATTCAGGCCTTACAACTCACCAGAGAATTCATACTGGAGAGAGGCCTTACAAGTGTGTTGAATGTGGGAAAGCATTTATCCAGAGAACACATCTTGTGGAACATCAGAGAATTCACACTGGAGAGAGACCTTACAAATGTAATGAATGTGGGAAGGCTTTTACCCAACGAGCAAACCTTATAGAACATCAGAGAATTCGTTTGGTGCAGAGACCTTACAAATGTAATGTGCGTGGTCAGGCCTTTAACTCTCCGCCACACCTCATTACACATCAGAGAATCCATACTGGTAAGAAACCATATAAATGTAAAGTATGTAGTACGGACTTTAAGAGAAACCTTACAAATGTAGTAAATGGCAAAACCTGTAACTGGGGCTCAGCCCTCACTAAACCAAAAACCAAACTCGTCATCAAGTTGATTCAGACTCATAGTGACACCCTTTGGGTTTCTGAGGTGGTAAATCTTCATGAAAGTAGATTGCCAAGTCTTCCTTCTGCAGAGTATCTGGTAGAGTTGAACTGCCAGCCAGTTATGGCTGGTTAGCAGTCAAATACCTTAGGCACTGTGTCACTAGAGCTGCTCACTAAACACCAGGAAATTCATATGGGAATAAAATTGTAAAAGTAGTGTATAAGACAAGTCCATTACTTAAAATTCACAGCTTGCAAATGATCTGAAATTCATTCAGGAAAGAAACCTTACAAATGTTTTATATTTGGTAAGCTTTTATCAAGCATTTGCACGTTTGAGGTCCAGAAAGTATTTGTTCTAGAAAGAAATCTTATAAATGTAACCAGTGTGGTAAATAATTTTTCTGATCTCAACTGATTACCATATTTTTTTTTTTTTGTAAATAATGTGCCCACACATACTACACAAGGATGATGAGATTAACACAGTCTAGCATAGCGCACCCATGCCCATCCTGCATGTGTCTTGTGATTTTTCCAGTAGTGAGTTTTGTCCTCACTTACCCGTCCTCCTATGTTATAGGTAAATCATATCATTTTTTTCTTTTTCTTTCATCTGCTTATGTGTATAAAAAGTCTAGAAATGGTACTTTTGATCATAATTGTATAACAAAGGTATAAGCTGTGGTCAAGAAGTCATGAAACGTGTTTGGTAATCCTCCAGTAATCAGAAAATAAACAGCAGAAAATATGTGTTTGTTTCTGTTGATGCAAGTTGATAATTACAGCACATTAGCTCAAGAGCTGCATATGAAAACCTTACCAGATTGTCTTAAGTGAAATGATTAGGTTGTGTTGCAAAATCCACTAGCAACCCTGTAGGGCAGAGTAGAACTGCCCTGTGTGATTTCCAAGACTGTTATCTTTCCTACATATCTTTCTCCCACAGAGCCTAGTGGATTCAAACCACTGACCTTTCAATTAACAACTGAGTGCTTTAACCACTGTGGCATCAAGGCACCTTTAGGTTATGTTAGGTCTGCTTTTTTCATAGATCAATTATGTCCTCTTAGTATCAATGTTTTTGATCGATGATCAGAAGTCACCTTGGTCACATGCTTATGAGCATAGGCTTATAAAAAGGACGTGTGGTTCTTGTACACCTTACATTTCAATGTTGTGATCTTTGCTAGAATCAGATTATTATTTATAGTTTTTTAATTTATAATTTTAAATTTTAATTTCTTAAAAAAGAACGCCAGTTCAGCTTTAATACATCTGCTGAAGTTGAAGGTAAGAACTCGTAACTCCCTTATTTTATTGGTTGTGGTACAGATCTTCTAAAATGAACTATTAGAACCGTAGATATATAACCTTCTCTATGTTTCCTACACAGGCTAAATTAACACAGGCCTATATATTATTCCCTGGCCTCTTTAGGATCATGCCAGGAGTTCAGTGCAAGTCTTACAGTGCCAGCTTCAAACGGAAAGTTGTTGCCAGGATAGAAGAAATGAGCAACAGGATGGCAGTGATGGAGTTCAAGGTTGGGTAGTTGTCCATTAGCAAATGGAGAAAGAAGAAAAAGGAATTGGAGAAAATGCATGCCAGTGATGGACCCAAGTGAAGTTCCCTCAGCTCTAGAGTGCCTTGAAGGAGTGCATTCCTTCTCCAGGAGAACAGAATCAAGCTGTCTGCACTGTCTCAATTCAGATCAAAGCAAAGCTTCCAACAAATGAAAGAGGAATTCCATATTTGAAAGCAGATTTCACCTGGATTTCTTTGTGTGCGGAAAGGTATGGCCTTTCCCTGAGAACTGGAACCGCTGGCCTGCAGGGAGCAAAAGATGGTTGACTTCTGTGAATTCATCACCACAGAAAATCTCTGAGCTCAATCTCTCTATCATGGGTGTAATAAATATGCATGAGGTTCTTTTGACATTCTGGCCACCAGGACTGTGGCGACTTCAGGTATGAGAACTATAGCCACTACATCCAATCCCTGGGCACGTGAGGGCTTGAATCACTGTCATCCTTGGTTGCACTGTGAGTGCCACTGGTGACTTTTAAGAGAATTCGCATGCTCTTCACAGAACTGTCCACCAGGGTGGTGGTTCATTGTCATAAGACGAGACAGATGGACTGTAATGTTGTGGAAGTATGGGTAAATAAATGTTACAAGGCTAGGCAGAGGGGATTCTTTTCAAAGAAGTCTGCAAGTGGGTGGCTTCTGTGTAGGATAAAATAACCCCGTAAACCATATGAGACAGTGTCATAAAGTCTGGGGTTGCGTAACAGCAGAATGAAGATCAATGGAATATGAATGACAGTTGCAGATGGCATCAGTTCAAAAGCCACAGAAGAGTGCCTGCTGGCCACTCTGAGACACTTCAGTGATGATAGTGGTGAGGGGTTTGACGTAAAGATTTCCAGAAGTTGGATAATGATGATAACAAATAAAGTGGCCTATTTTATGATAGAAACCAATTTTCTCCTGAGACTTTTATGTGTTGAATTCAAACACTGATTTTTCAGGACAAAGTTCCCGTTTAAGATTTATGAAAGCAATAAAATATAAATACCATTTTGTTGACTTGTTTTAGGCCTGGGTCATTTCTTTTGTACTAATTTGTAGCTCTTTGTGCATTCATACTCTGGTTGCAATATGGCATCCCACCATTCCATTCACAGGAGTGACAGTGATAACTTTACTTTTGATCTACTGGTAAATACTTTTGGTTAAATTTCAAGTAATTCAAAATCAGTATCTACCGTAAGTGAAGTATCCATGTGATGGGACAGAAATTGGAAAAAAAAAAAAAAAAGGCATAGTGCACTTAAGAAAATAATGCATCGATTGATTTGTGTCCCCCCAAAATTTGTGTCAACTTGGCTGGGCCATGATTCTCAGTGGTTTAGCAATTAAGTAATGATGTAATGGCAGATGTGTAATGATACCCCATGACATGATCTGATGGGATAAGCCTATCAGGTGTAAAGGATTAAGATTCAAATTAGTAGGCAACACCCTTAGACCCATCACAGCCCTGATCCAATGCAAATCGAGCTTACCCCTTTTATCTTACAAGAGATGACAGAGAAAGGAGCAGAGATGGGGAAAGTACTACCAAAAAGAGGAGCCAAGGGGGCAGAGTGGGTCTTGGGATCTAGGGTCCTTGCACTGGGATCCTCCTAGAGCCAAGAGAAACGGAGAGAGAGAGGTTTCCCCTAGAGCTAACACTCTGAACTTGGACTTCTAGCCTCATAACGGAGAGAATAAATTTGTTAAAGCCATTCACTTGAGGTATTTCTATTACAGAACCGCTAAACGAAGATGGGGGTTAGAATCTTACCAATTTTATGACTGTAGCAAAGCCTTTGATGATGTTCAAACCTTACTGGATAATTCAAATGTGATGAACATCACAGACTGCAACCGATGCTTTAAGCTTATGGAACATCACAAAATGTGAAATTTTTAAATAAGTGTAACATATATGAATAGGTTTTTTATCCAAGAGAGATTTACCTCATCAAACAATTCTTACTGAGAATAATTTTCCATAACTTTATTTCCTTTTCTAGAGAGTGGCCCATTCTGACAACATGACTATGATGGTTATGTCTGTGTGTCAATTCGGCTGGGCCTGCTGGGTGAGTGGCTGGGCAGCTGGTGGTAGTTACTCCCCATGATGAGACTGGCAGTCAGCTCCATGGTGGGATCTACCACAAGCAGCTGAATAGCTAACTGCCTTTGGGTCTGTGGTCTGCTTCCCATATATAAGCAGCAGCTGTGGGAATGGTCTCCAGCATATGGCACACTTGAACCCTGCATGTAGCCGTGTCATTGCTCAGCAGCCTACTATGCTCTGCTGACTTTGAGACTTCATCTGGACTTGAATTAATGGCCTGCCATGTGGTTTGGTAACATCAGAACTGTGCCTTTTTACTTGTCAACCTTGGGCTTCTCAGCCTCAGCAGCCAGCAGCTGTCTGAGTGAAGAAACGCCTCTAGCTCCAGTGGGCCGGGAGCAGGAGGCAGAGCTGAAACCCAAGGTTGGAAGGGCTTTTACCCAGCCTCTAGGGCTTGGCACTTTGAACTTGGACTTAAAGCCTCTGAACTGTAAGACAATAAACTCCTGTTTGTTAAGGCCATCCCATTTGTAGTATATTCTTGTCAGAGTGGCACTAGGTAACCAGAACAGAATTTGGTACTGAGAGAGTGGGACGCTGCTCTGACAGATCCCTAAAATGTGGAAACAGGAGTGGAGTGCGTCCTTGACCCGAGACCCTGCAGAGAGACCCTGGTATATGACATGAGAGACGGCAGGAGCAGAGCCCAGAGACCAGCATTAAACAGCAACAGGCTTACCAGCCCATGGAAGAGAAAGCCAGGTAGGCGGCTTCCTGGCGGAGTGGGTTGCCTTGAGGCATTAATTAGTGGAAGAGACCAGCATGAGATGGAGTAGCAGGTTGGCCGGCCCACGGAGCAAGAAAGCTGAGTGCTTTTTTGGGGTCAGGAAGATTTCTGGCGGAGTGGGTTGCCTTCGGCATTAATTGGTAGAAATGGGAGACCAAGGAAATGGAAGCAGAGCTGCCTCAGCCTGAAAGGGTAGGTCCACGGCCTTTGGGGGTGGAACGAGCATAGGCCCCTAGGTTTCAAAGAGCCAGGCCTTCAACTTGGTTCTGGAGTGTGGGGCTGCTCGTTCATGTGGGTCAGTGGGACGGAGCCACAGCTGCTGCCCAAGAGTGAGAGGAACAGGCCGCCAGGTGAAGGGGGTGAGGTCGCCACTTAGAGGGACTACGGTACTGGAGCCACCCAGTGGAGGAGACCTGTACAGATGCCACCCACTGAAGATCCGTACAGGTGCCAAGTTGACAAGGGGTGGAACTGTGGTGGC